GGAGGGAATGGGGGGGGGGGGGCTCCAGGGCCCCAGGCGCGAGGGGCTGCGACATTATAGAAAAATATAATATAAACTATAATACCGTAGTTTCGTTCAATGGGGCCCCGACAGTTTTAAACAATAAAAGCTGGGTTCTGATGTTTGAAATCATGCTTCTGATTTTGTGATCAATTTGCTTTGCATTGTATAAAGGTTGTATATTATCAATTACAGGTTTAGTTCTCACTAAAATTGACCTATTCTCTGTATTTATTTACACCTAGAGTACATAGGGCTACTGAAGGCATACCAGTCCGAAAGTCATGTACCATTCTATGTTCTCTAACAAGAGAGTTAACAGTTAATTTTTCAATCTCCAGCAAATTTAAATAGCATCCAATCCTCCTTTTTGGAATGTAAGGAAATAGACTATAGTGCTTTTCCTTTGTTGGAATGATTGTAACTTCCAGGACCACAATGAAAAACATTTCTTTAAAATGATTGTGTCATCCTGGCTAAAGATATTAGTAAATAAATAAACTCCTGACTGTAGCAACCCCAAAACGAATGGCACTTCAGAAATACAGTACAGAGTACCAAAACTTCTCTCAATCTTTATATTCTATCGCGTTGTTTGTGTTTTAAGTTAACTTTATTTATTTATTTTTTATTTTATTTATTTTTTTAAGCGTACAGGTTTGGAATATTTTAAAATTCTTAAGTTAAATTATTTAAAGTTTTCTTATATTTTCAATGATAAATAAATGCGATCGTTAATATCGATCTTGGTACAATGTAAACCTGTAATCATATGACTACTTATACAGAATATATATTATAGGCCTAGACTAGGACCAGGCCTCCTACTATAGTATAGAGGCCTAGTCCTCCTACTATAGTGTAGAAGCCTCGTCCAAGACCTTGTTGCAAATCCCAGCCCACATAAGCCTAACCTATGCCAAGCATAGGGCTCGTGATCGCGGTAGCCTGACCATTAAAAATTAGCAGACGCACTGGGAAGCGTTGTTCACGGCATTGGACTGCAGCGAAAAATGATTCCCCCATCATTAATGGAACAGGCCCACGTCATGCTTGGCTGATTAG